TTAAATTCAGATTTGTTAAGCACGATCCTACTTCATCAACATTTATTTGGCTAAGGACAGTATGATTAGTGCTAACACGATGGATTTACTGTTAGTTCTAAGAACATAAATGTATGTGATAACTGTCCCGTTTAACTTCTTTTTCTTTTTATCTTGCCATACTAGAGATTCACACGTGATCAACAGTTTGGGTCGAAAAGTTTAGGTTTGGATATATGTATAAATCACCTTAATAAAAAATAGGTTTGCGAAATACTAGTCTAAATTACGCCTAGGTTTAACAAGGTGTGCTTGGTATTTTCATCATGTAAAAGTAACTATGATATCTGTAAATATAGACTAATACCGACAGAAATGGAGAACCACAGGAGAAATAGTTCACCATCAAACATCCTCACTTTAAGTACCCACTTAGTGGGAGCACCAAGTGATGCAAAATAAAGACTATTTCGTATTTGTGCTGAAATGGTGCCAGCCATCAACTCACAAGGGTTATTCTGACTGTTTGTAAGTGAAGTGATTAACATAGTCAAACGAATTCCTTGATATGATAAACCAAGATGACACTCCAAACAAGTTTCACGAGAGCAGGAAGTGTGCCATAAACATTTATAATTTTCTGTTGAAGGTTCCTGAAATAACAGATGATTTGAAATACTTTTCTCTCTCATTCTCTGCTGTATACTGTTATATCCTAGTGAAGATCACATTAGGAATAACGTCTGGGACCAATTAATGGACTAATATTATTTATATATTCTTATGGTATAAATATTCAGTGACTAGATCATGTATATCTATATTCCACTTGTTATAAGCTTTATTTTGATCTATACATTATTATTGTATGATTCACTGTTTTTAAGCTATGTTCAGTTTATTGACTACTGCATGACACGCTCACAGCCACTTTTTGGCTTTAGTGTGTACAAATGTTATTTCCTATTTTAAGGTGCGTTGCGGTCTGTTTGGTTGGTATATAAACCCAGTATGTTTGAAATATATGGTAGATGTTATTAGTGTTCTGGACTCAAATGGACGAGCTAGGCGAACATACGGCGAATAAGGACGCTAGGTTGCTCATACCGGTTGGACGTCATTGATTTGACGCAGTGCTAAGATTATATAAGTCGTATTTTGATTGGTGGACAAATCACGTGATAACTAGCCGGACATAAAGTCACATCTACTATGCTTATACAATATCATAATAAAACTGGTCTGGATGATCGACTTTATAATAACACTAGGTTGGATATTCGGACGGTACACAGTACAGAGACTAAGGCACGCTGTATTAAATACATGATTTACGACCAAGAATAGAGAACCGGTGAAACGCTAGATAGAACTTCATCCCACATAATTACAAGCAGTCACTCAGAGTTCGCAGAAATTAGTAAGCGGAAAGAAAATCACATATTTAATAGTCAGTAAGTTGGGTGGTTGTTTGTCAATACTCAATGACCAATCACATTTACTTTCACTACAATACAGCTTTTCTTTTAAAAAACTCAGTCACAATGATGTCTGTGTACTGTTCATCAATTTCCATGATATAAAGCTAGAACTGTATCAACATTATGCACATGACAAACTGAGCAGAAAAATAATTATCATCCTTAACAAGGAACTAACAAATACACTTATGGTTCGTTTTAGGATGTAAGTGAAATCTACGTCGTTCTGATGTACAAAAAGCACACATCAGAGACTTCCAGTAATGATCCAAAATGCATGGTCAAAGTTTAACCTGTTAAGTCTAGAAATGTGACGCTTTAAATTAGTTAGGTTGCAATTTTTACACGAACTACTGCACTGTTCCAAAATCCATAGATTCCAATTGATTCGCCAATGTATCATGCTTCATGTTATTTTAGATAATCACTTAAAACATAGGAAATAAGCATTGTCTACACCATTCAGAAATGTAAATGTATTTGACTGAAAGGCTTAAAAATAAATGTCTGAAGTTCAGGAGCGAGTAGCTTCCCCTAGTTCCAAAACGTTTTCTGTAGACCATTTATGAAAACCTCAAAAAACCTGTAATGGTTGTTCTGATTGATTTTTAATGGCTAACAAGACCACCTAATTAGTACTGAAGACTAGTATTCAATTGGGATCACAGCATTTAGTGTGTGTAACAAGGGTAATTATTTTAACTACGCTTTACAAGAAATTACAGATACCCATTTACTGACTCATTATCTATCAAAGGAAAAAGGCATTCAAATCACATAAAAACACCAGTAGCATGATTAATAAAAGTGACATTAAGACATTTGTACAAGCAAAAACGCACAAAAGAATATTTTTTCGGAGATTAGTCTTTTACATAACTAATAAGTGTATGCATGAATATATAAATGTATAAGTAATGAACAGAAAACAATCTTTCTTTTTTCCCATCTATTCTTATCCAGAGGAAGTACTTTAATCCTGTCGATATACCTCAATTTCTTCGAATCCAGTCGATGAAGTTTCTAGGTGACAGCGAGATGAGGCGTTCAGCGACTACTCGTTTCCGTAATTGATTACATTATTGTCACCTTTTCCTTACTTACAGCTACTTTGTGGATCATTTAGCCATACTTTGTTTGAACACGCTCCCAACCGATCGTTGTAACTGTTATTCGGAACGACCATGGGAAAGCCCATTTCAAATGAATGTATCGGTAAAGCCACTTGACCAAAACTCTTGGCAAGCGTGTTGCTAGGGATGAACCTTAAATATTAACTAGTAAGGACCTTTGTCAGTAAGTATTGATTAGGTAATACATCGTTAGGACTGATGTAGTTAAATAAAACCATGTAAAACTTTCCCGCTTCTCTTGATTTCGATTATGCTTTCCCATACGTATCGACGGGATTTTTCATTTGGGTATTTGGATGCAAACCTGGCGGGCGTTTGTCAGATTAGGTGATTGAAATGAATGTGACGTGAACCGTGACCGACTGTTCGCTATAACTTCAGTTGATAGATAGCATTGACAAGAATCCTCAGTACATTACTAAACGATCTTGCTAGTTGATATCAGGACAAGATAGGGAAATCCCGGATAATTTGAAAATGTTTCGCTGAAGATTAAAGAGTGGGCACCGCTTGTCAACCAACCGAAACCGCGACTATTTTGGCCACGAAAACGGCACTAACAGGATTCGTATGTTCACTCTGCAAAGCTACCAATTCATGACGAAACGATTTATTAATAGATTATGTGTTTAGCTGTTTTTTCCTAGGTGAAAATTTCAGGAACAGATTTCACATAATGAACAATGAAATCAGTAAACGACTTAAGAGTGAATACGTCACTGTATCATGTGTTCTTCAAATACCATAATAGTTGATCATGACACTTAGTCATAACAACAATAGAATGGTTGTTACATTTCAGTAGCAGATGAAAGTGGCTAGGAAACTTACTAATTTTCCAAACGTTAAATTGCTGGGCAATATTTATCCGTTTTATTTGATGAGTGAACACGCTGTGTAACGGTAATTAATGTTTTTGAAGGAAACGTTTAGTTTTACTTGAAAATTTTCAGTCTTGAATGTATAAACAAATTGAACAGCTTGATAATAAGAAACTCAATTAGAATGGGTATATATACTTCACCAGATCAATTGGCCATACAAAAAAGTAGTCAAAATTTACCAGTCAATTATAACAGTAAACAGTGAGAATTTAAATAGAAAACTTACATGATGTCATATTATCCCACCATATTAAATGTAATCGGATGCCGGAAATATTTAATTGAATGCTCAGTCTGTTAACATATTCGTCTTAGGTTATAAGCGACACGAGGTTAATCTACCTTAGAAAATACGCAACTAAGAACAATATTTCTACAACAAAATTGACAAAAAAACTAAGCATTTAAAAAAGAGCGTTAAAAATTGTTTATTTAACGGCTAGTCGGGTTATGTGTTGAAAGCATTTGCGAAAAGAACAATGGGGTGAAGTGTAAACACTTTTTTGTTTGATGGAAGCATCAAACAGTAAACAACAACTGGTGATCAGACGCAAACAAGAAAATAAAACAAGTGAGGAAGATGAAAAAAATAAAAGCCAAGTAAACAAAGGATTATTGAAAAACCGGAAGATGGCATTTATAAAAAACTACATTCTACAACAAAATATAATATTATCAAGCAAAAGTAGAGATCATTAAAAAGTGAGCTGTGGTTGACTCCATTATTCAAATTTCTGGAAATTCCACTCGATAATTGATTTAGGTTAATTAAACAAAAACTTTCAAATAACACATACATCAACCTATACATATAGGTTGGATTAAAAGTAATTATAAAACAACAATTTAAAGAAATTCTAGTATGTATGCAATTTTGCAAATACAAAATAAGGGTGAGAAAACCAGATATCTACCGTAGCTTCATACTGTATTGGTATTTTATTTTACCGTCTTTCACAAAGTGTATATTTGTACATAAAATGAAGAGGGCAGATGCAAACGTGTTCTTGTAATAAATAAATAAATAAATAAATTATATATATATATATATATATATATATATATATATATATAAACTGCAAGTGAAGAAAACAGGTATAAAGAAAAACAAAACATGTAAATGCATATCCTACAATTTACATTGATCACAATACACAGAAAACAAATGAAATCGGATGATTAGTTTGCTTTATCATACTAGTTACCATATAGAAAAGCACAGAGAAAGATAATAAGCCATACAACGCTACTACTTGTTATAAAGAAACTAGACATCATGATAGATGACTAACTCCACATGTTGTAAAGCGAGGTATAGATGGAAGAATTAAATGGAACAAATGATTAAAATTCTTTGCGAGTGTAATATTCATAAGGGTAAATTAGTGAGTCATATGATACCAAGTAAATTTACAGGCAAGATAATAATAACAATTGTAAATATTGGTAGGACTTGTGATGGAAGATATATTTTCTCTTGGAAAAGAGGTACACTGATCATAAATATTAACCACACATCATAACTACAGTAAGCCTAGACCAGAATTAGTAGGCACGACACTCTGTGCATTTGTATTTATCATACCAGTTTGTAGGCCAGCATTAATCTGAACTGAATTTGGACTAGCAGCTAACCAGTTAGGTTGGGCAGCATAACTCACGGGAGTTGACGAAATATCTGGTGGTGCAGTTACTCCAGATGGTGCACCTCTTGATGCCCATCCACTAGTAGTTGTTGTTGTATCCTGACTGAAAATATACGGTTGTACTGGGTGAGATGATTGTATTGTACGTGTTAATAAGGGAACAGAACCAGGATTTGATGTTACACCAGTTGGTAGAGCATTCGACTGAACACCTCGTCTAGCTACGACAAGACCGGAACGTGTACTTGAAGCAGTTAGATCGATATTTTTGTTATCACAACAACTACGACGACGGAAAACTCGTGCGAAGAAACGTTTCCATGATACAAGTGTTTTTCCACTCCATATCCAAACACCACTTGTTATACCAACAATCAATGTCATAAGATATTTAATCATAAATAATTCGAATTCGGGTTTTTCTAATGCAGATATTTTGTCAAATATATTTTGACTAACAGAAATATCGGAAATGTCTGATCGGGATGAACTACCGGCTTCAACCAGTCGTTTGAAATGTCCAGGACATATAGAATCGGCTAGTTGATTAGGATCCACTTTACGACATACTTCAGTTGTATACCATGTAAGCATCCATTTTTCAGACATTCTAGATTCATGTAAATAACAGGCGATTACTACTAGTGCTGGTACAATGTACAGTAAACTAAATACACCAATTCGCATAATTAATTTCTCTAAGTCATCAGTTTTTGAACCTCCAGTTTTAATGATTGTACGAATTCTAAATAATGATACAAAACCAGCAAACAGGAAACAAGTTCCAATCAGAAGATACAAACATAATGGGGCAATTAAAAATGCTCTCAGTATAACTGGATCTGTTAATCCGGTAAAGCATACACCAGACAGTGGATCGCCGTCAACCTTTCCCAAAGCTAATATTCCAATTGTTTTAGCAGCTGGAATAGCCCATGCAGCAAAGTGTAAATACTGTGCATTACGTGATATAGCTTCATGTGCCCAATGACATTTAGCAGCTAGATACCAAGTGATTGTTAAAACCACCCACCAAATAGAACTAGCCATAGAAAAGAAGTAAAGCAACATGAATAAAATGATGCATCCTTCAAACTTTGTTCCCTGAGTAACGAGTCGCGGCATTTCAATTTGACCACTGAGAGATTGTGGTGCTGGAAAAGGCCCAGAGCAAGCGACCTAGCAGAGTAAAATAATTACAGACATAGTTTAGGCACAAAATCTTTACACAGTGGTAGATTATACTCACGACGAGTTTTTTAAAAGTTGATAACAGAGAGTTCGTTATACAAATAGTTTTAATCCACTTGGATGATTACTGAAGGTCACATCTCAACAATCCTGAATTATTTACATGTTAAACAGTGAGAACCATCCATCAAAAAATTTGAAATGTATGTCTTTTAACAAAAACATAATCTGACAATATAACATTACCTCAGTAAGATACAGAATTCCTACTATATATATATATATATATATATATATATATATATATATCAATGGTAACTTTCTGTTGTCATTACGTATATGTAGTACAGTGGCATAAATAGTTAATTGTCAACCATTGAGTTTTTGGTTTGTAATCTCTCCACTATTATTAACCTATGTAATTCGCTTGGCGAGTACATGTTTATGCATTCGGTTTTTAGCCACACTTCATTTGGAAGCTAGTGGTGTTGCGAATCGGTTATCCAAAGTTAGAAGCTGGGATCCAAACTTGTCACCTAGCAGCCAGACTTCGATAGGTCTAACCGATTAACTACGATTTTACTGTATATACGTCTGTCTGGACAGCTCCGAGTTTCACTAGCCCTCAAACAAAAATAACAAATATGATTCATAGCTTCTAGTATATAAAAGTATACAAAGTGGCTGTTACATTACTTTCCTTGTTATACTTCAGGTGTTAGTTGTTATACTGATAATAGACGCTTAACGACAATATTGAATTGTAGTAAAATTGTGGCACGACCGTAGCTGTTACCTTGACGTGATCAGGCTTGCCTATTGTGATGACCCAAACGAGCTATATTGGCTGGAACATATGTTCCTGTAGGTCTTACCATGCCAGGAAGGTCGATTGGAGAACGGTAAGACTAAAAGCAGCAACTCAAGGTCTGAGAGCGAAGTCGTGCTCCTGCCTGTGGAGGGGCGGGACAGTAGTAAGGTGTTTTACCTTGGGTAACCAGTATCTGCAGCAATGCTGCCTTCTCACAAGGAAGGGCGGGGTTAGAAAATGTCGACCCTAAAAATGTCACACCTCACCTTACCTCACGGATTTCCGTCTCCAGCGATAAGGCCTTTTGAAGAACGGAGCTAACACGTTAAAAACCTCCCACAAAAAGGCCGTGCGTGACCGGCCTCAAGCAGTTGTCCCTTGGGCTCTGCGGTCACGCTTCCAAGTCGTTAAGACCGGCACTAATCCAATTTCCTTTTCAGGTTCCTCAAGAAATACCCTTTCACGGTGTGGGCAGCCGGAAAGTGATATCACCCCTCATACTGTAACATCGCACGAGAACAAATTGGTCACATTTAAATCCTTCCTACACCTTTTAATAACTCTTATCTCCACGACCAACCCTTATCACGTCCCTCTATCACCTCGCACCGCTAGTGCGAACGATTCGAGTACACGGAACGTTAGTCCTGGTCTCCTGAAACTACGCTCTAAACTACACGTAGAAGCTTTTACCGTCCGAACACTGCCAAATAGGACAGCAAACTTCCTTAGCTAGGACTTTAGAATATCGCGTCATCGATGTGTGCTGCGTCTCTGAAACGCGCATACAGGATCCGAGTGGTGTTACTCATTTGACCTCACCATATCGATTCACGCTTCGTGTATCTGGAAGCCCGAATGCTGCCTCCCGTGACCTCGCCGGTGTAGGTACAGAATTGAGTCTTAGGGCGGAACTAGCTCTCTTAGAGTGGATCCAAGTAGAGAGTCAGTTGTGCACTGTCCGACTAGACGGAACAGTAAGAATCCGGAAAGATAGGGACACTCGTCGTTGCCTCTGCCTATTCTCCCACTGACTGCAGCGCAGAGGATGTAAAAGATGAGTTTTACAGAAAGCTTTCCGACCTTCTCCGAAAGGCTAGGCGCTCGGATGTAGTAATAATGGCCGGTGACTTTAATGCTCAAGTAGGTAAACTAAGCGATAGGGAAAGACACCTGGGTGGATCTTATAGCATCGTGGCTCAAAGAACAGATAATGGCGACCGTCTAGTGCACCTATGCTCAGATAACCGCCTCTTTCTTGTAAACACTAACTTTAAGCATAAGGAAAAACATCTTTTAACATGGTGACCCCCTAATTCGTCCCAATGTTGGACCCAAATAGATTACATCGCTATCAACCACCGATGGAGGGGCTCGATAGACAGTCACTCATTCTGGAGCACATGCTTAGATTTAGATCATGCGCTAGTGCGAGCGTGTATTTGTCTGAGTCCTACTGGACGTAGGGAAGATGCTGCAGGGAGGCATCTTGGGGTCCTACTTAATGATAGTCAAGCTAAGAGTATATTTCAGGAACAACTAGGAAAACAGTTAGGCAGCTATGTAAGTGATGCCCATCCCGAGACAGCGTGGAATGACATCCGAAAAGCTGTGGAAACAGCAGTGATATCTGCTAGTACAATAAACCATAAGGTTAGGGAGAAACACTGAGTCTCAGCAGCATTTACCGCACTGATAGATGCTCGAAAACTAATTCCATCTGACTCTGAACATAACGAAGAGAGGAGTCAGCTTAAGCGCCTACGCAATGGTCGCAAACAGTGGTGGGTAGCGAAAGCAGGAGATGGAAAAGGCAGCGGCAATAGGCAACAGCAGACAACTGTTCCGATTTGTCAAGGAAGCCAGTATTGGGAACCCAACTGTTAGTGCAATGGCGCAGGTACATCCACTTTCTTTCCTCCCAAATCCTAATCTTTGGAATTCATGTCCCTTTTTTCTCTTTCCAAATCTACTTCACTGGATTATACTCCTTGAATAACATCTTCAAAACCTAATCTTTTCGATCATTGCTTATACTTTTACTACCTCTACCACCATGGGATTTGGACCGACAATTGTATCTCTGTGCCAAAGTGATATGGTAACTTGAACTGATGTACGTACATACGAAGTTCTACGTTGTTGCCGACTGACTGTAGATAGCTTGTTGCTGAAACTCATAACCTGAACTCAGTTTCGCACTTCGAAAGGATTGAATAATAGTTTTCCAGTGAAATGAACTTTTAAGGTTAGTATGTTGAGATTAAAAGTTGGATTCGTAGGATGTAAAGTTAAGAGTTGGGATCTAGCTGGATTACATTATTGTGAGTTTCATCGATATCTAGAGCTACTAAATTCATCAATGGTGTTAAAATCCCTAATTCACTGTAATTTTATCGCTTTTCCACATTTTAGAGCTCCTATACGAAAGCTAGATTCTGATTAGCTGTTCTTCATTGGGTAGTCTCAAGAGCGTGCCGAAAATCGCACTCACTTTATTTCGAAACCACCCCAAAAATATTTTTCAACTATATTTAGTCAGGCGACGTGATTCAGACGCTTTTCGACGTAATATAGTAGGACTGGGGTTGGTCCATACGCCATTTGTTCCTTCAGGAGCCCGCAGTCCATATGCATCAGTGGTTTGAGATCAGGGTTTTTCAAATCCACAGTTGGATCCTCCATATCCAAGGACATTAGGAATAGAGGACATTCATAGGTAACTAGTATTCGACCAGGTTCTAGGTTGTGACGGACTAACTAATGGAGTAATGCCACAACTTAATGATTCAAATAGATCATTAGTATGGGAATGATGTTATAATGATTTGAATAAATATATTCCTCTAGCCACTGAAGCATCTATCACAAAAATTATACTGTCTTAGTGCACAAACTAAACAATAGAATTTTTGACTTACACCATCATTTAAAATAAAACCTGCAACGTATGTCAGAGCCACCATCAGGTAACAAGCTGACAAGAATATTATCGGTCTCTCGGGGTACTGAAATCGAGGCATATCAATGAGGAAGGTGAGAACTGTAAATGACGTGGATGCTGCACACAAGAAACTCCAGAGACCGATCCACAAGCGAGAAAATTTCCTGGAAGACGAATCGCCAAAAAGGAAATCACCGCAAGGAATTCCACAGTCTTGAATGATTTGATTCCTGCTCATTCTTATACGGAATTCGAAACTCGGAGGAACCTAGAACGTTAGTGCATATTAAGGAATCCTGTACAACCTACTCTCATATGAACAGGGCACACGAACGAAGGTTCCTTAGAAACCCGTTTTTCTGTCTTATTTTCAGCTATACACAACGAATCTTCTGGGAAACGATCACAATTCATTATTTCTGGCCACTAGGGAAAAATAAGATACGAATGAGAACCACCTCAAAGTGAAAACCCCGCATAAGTGGTTCACAGTCCTTACGGTTTTGTTCACACAAAGATCGACAAGGAGGTAACGGTTTTTTCATTCCAGTGCAGACAGGGAAAAATAATGAGCATAAAAACAATTTTAAGGAAGAACTGCAAGTAGTTCGAACTAATGGTGTATATTGACCGATTTCCTGGGCGGCATCATCTTGAGTAGCGTGCCCCATATCATTTGGGAATATAGTGATGTTGTATGGTAGATCCTGGCAAGCCTTTATACGTATAGGTTCACATTTAGGTGTTTCAGCGTATGGATCTTCCAAACCTCGCTGTATATAGCAGTTAGAATGAGAGAAAATATGTACGACGATGAAGAAAGCCTCCAAACACAAGTACATTTGGACCCACAATGGCGCCTAAATATTTATTTGATTAACGCTCCATTGGTATGGTTATTGACTCTAGAAAACACAAAGCAAAGGAGTATGAAGTAAGGAGTTATCCACATACTATTCGTCAAATAGTGTCAGTCGTTCCTCAGACTTCACGAAATACTCCCGAAATCAAGCCACTATCGGTTACACGGCTTACACGAGACATTGCTACCAAACTCAAAAATCATCCAAGGCTCTTTCGTGTAGCGTCCACTGTTACTAATGACATGAAGGATGTTCTGTTGGCCAGTAACTTGCTGAAATCAGGAGGGGATGTGAACACACAGTTTGATCTATCATATCCTGAGCTCAATTTCATCAAGAACACTCGCGAAAAGTTCTTTCGCGGAACAATTGTCATTGTTCAAGATGTTCTAAATAATACGGACCATGATGATTCCGTCTACGGTATTCGAGCTTTATAACTCATGCGGCTATCCTTGAAGACTAAGGGTATGTCGATCCGACAAACGGTACGAATAACTGTCAATAAAGGGGATCCTAAACCTTCTCCTCCTCCCAAATACCCACTGGTACCCCCAAAGCGTCTCTTTCCAAGTGAAATCAATATGTAACAGGACAACTCAAATGATGAAAGGATTAAGCATCAAAGGAAACTTGAACTGACTTTTTTACCTGTGAACTTTCAATCACAAGACAAAATGTAAAATAGATATGAATAACCTGCTCGGAAAACCCTTTTCAAGCAGGCATTCTGTTCATTTACGTAAGGCTCATTCAGACAAACAGAAAGAGGGAGCTCACTAGTTTCAAATTGAAAGCGTTGACCTCCTTAGTGCAAACTCTGTGAGTTTTTACAACTTCGCCGAACCAGATGGATGGGTTGTGTGAACTAAGTACCACCAATAATACTTATATGATAGAAATCTATGAAACATGGACATCTCAAATTACGGAGCAGGAGCTGGCAGTACCTAGAATGTCTTTGTTTCGCAAAGACAAAAAGAGGAATGGGACGGAGCAGTTCGGTACCTTCGATCTTGCTTGGTAGCTCATCAAATGTACACTCAAGAGTCTATCAATCTAAATGAATCTGTATGGCGCTTAGTGAAACTATCTGACATCCCGTAATGTCTGGTTGGAATCATTTACAGAAAGCCCATTTCTGACACCGATGATCTTGGTGACACACTCAGGAAATTGCTCTATAGCTGTCCAAAGAAGCCCGAAATGCAGCTGTAGGAAGGGAGTGTCACGGAATCAGAATCATGAAAGCGTTCTTCAAAACATAGAAGGAGTGAATCACGATGGATGTTATCCAGTGTTATGCACCTACCAATCACAGCAACGACGATAATAAAGATCAGTATTATGATCGACTACAATCAATCATAGCGAAGTGCTCAAGAAATGACCTCACCACCCTGATGGGAGATCTAAACGTAAAAGTCGGAAAGATGAACACCGGGTATGAAGATATCATGGGACGACATGGATTGGATGAAACGAAGAAAAGGGTTGATTTGTAAACCCATACGAAACAACAAATCGGTTATGAATGGCACAATATTACCACAAAAACGCATACACATAGCTGCATGAATCTCACCGGACCACACCACAAAGAACCAGATAGACCACCTTTGTATGAACAGAAAAATTCAGAGGGCAATGGTAGTGAAAACTGGAAGACGACCTGAAATAGTTCCAGATCACACCCTAATTGTGGCCAAGATGAAACTGTAGTGACACCCGATCGTAACCACGATCCTCAAAGCTGAACACGAGACAACTGAAAAACCAGACATTCAATTTTTAACACGGAGGAAAACCCAACGATGGAGAAGGCAGGAAGAATGAATTCGAAACTTAGTTTATCGGATGGTATGTCTTAGCCTTGCAGGCGTGGTCATTCTTGTGTGTTGTCTTATCTTTTTTATTCATATTAAATCTTTTGTTTTATCTTCAGCCTAACTGTGTTCTCCATCATGTATTGGTGATCGTACGATACGATGAGCCAGTGTAGACAATGATGCGACTTCCACGTAAGATCTTATAGATTAGGGAGTTACATCATGACAAATCTACAATTTTAGGATTAGGTCTATTCTTAGAGCAGTGCCAATAACGAGGTAGACCATTATTCTACAGAACTAAAGCCGAAGAAGCCTGGAGTAACAGCACTACAAAAGTTTAATGCAACCCTTCTTTGAGATACTGACAGGCTCAACGGCTTCAAGAAAACTCTCAACAACAGGTTCAAAGCCTTATAGGGTCTACTGAAAGAAGAAACTACCATGGAGGACAACTGAAAAAGTATCAAAGAAGCACTAGCATCAACGTGTCAGCAGGTGCTGGGCCTCAACAAAAACCACCACAAAGAATTTAGGGATCAGTTCTATTATCAATGCAGAACTAATAACGAACTAGACCATAATTTTACATAAGTTAATTCGAATACATTCATCGCCGGTCGACCCTGTTGACTGAACTGAGGCTTGTTGGAATATCTTCATATTTCACTGTTCTTTATAGTCCTGTTGCTAGAACCGGGGATTTTTCGACTTACTAGTAACCTTTGGATTTAAACTCTTACCTCTGCCAGTCGTATTTGAAGTTGCGGTGTGAGTGCTGGTGACATTTCTATTTATGTGCACTCTACTCGATAAACCATAAAGTATAATCTGATAATCTGAGGAGGAATCTTGCAAGAGGAAAGTTGCGAGAGAGGAATATAACAAAGATGAGTAAATATAATCTCCACGAGAAAATAACCTGAAAGGCACATGAAACTACAACGCTACCTTTGACTGTCCTAGAAAGCGACTTCGAGTGGATCCATTAACCAGTCTGCAAATTCTATGTTTGCCAGAGAGAGACCAGTCGATAGAGACAGGCCTACCGCAGAGTTTCAATATTTGTATGGCTATGCTTGTCAGATTTGCTGTTGTGGCTGTCTGCCAGCAAATCAAAGATGCAGTTCATATGGTTGAAAGCCTTTAAATATAACATTTTGGCGGTGGGAAAGTGAACATTTCCGGTTGATAGTGAGGGGTCAACAGGGTCACGCTGGACTCCAAGAACGCATAAACTGTAGCCCTTGACCTGAATGAGGATCGATAAACTCTTCGATCTCCAGTGACCTGAATAACTGATGATTTGGCTTAGACCCAGTGACTAGCCCTACGTCAATAAAGTCGCTGAATATGCTAGATTAAGACTTCAGATCTCCGTCAAAAGTAATCGTGATTAATGCATCAAAGTTAGAGACCCATTTATCCGGAAATATGGGAGCAATATTGACGGCTGAAATGTAGTTTGTATGACATAGAACTTGACACCTGACAAAAACTGTCAATTGGGGGAAATATATAAATTGCACCATAAGACAACTTGACTATGATCCAGTACGCCCTTTGGGACCGAAGTAATTTTACGTCGATTTTCGGGAGAAATGTCGCAACCTAGACAAAAGTGCTCAATACTGTGGCGTGTATTTCACTCGAAATGTTGCATGATCAACATCGGTTTTTTCAGTCGCGACATTTCCTTTTACTGGAATCAAAGCATCTGCATCTAGCCATGAGACAATATTAGCGACACGATCTACTTTCCCTTTGAAATATTCAACACTTTTTTGAAACTTTGAGGCTTAGTCTTACATGCAAGTTTCTTTGAGAGAGCAATTATCACTGCCAGCAAAAAAGTGATAGTCAAAAGTTTGTGATATATTACAATTAATAAGTCTCTTTCATGGAGTCAGTGATGCAAACATTTCATTGCATTGTCGCCTCTGAACGGCTTCTAGTTTCTTTGAGAAAGAGGTCAACAGATCTATTTCATTACTCACATGTTGTTGTAATATCATGACTGTTGCCATTAATGATGAGTTGGTGCACAAGACTTGTGCTGCTCCAGAAAATGGACTCAAGTGCGTCAGTTTTGTTGTTTAAGCCACAAATGATTTGACTGCCAACTAAGCATCCTTTGTCTCAGCAACAGCGTCGTAAATGTCTGATAATTCATTTTTATTGCGTCATTTGAGAGCTATAGAACCAGCGAATGAGAGACGTAGCATCGATAATAATGATTAATTCCTTGAAGATGACTAAGCCTGCTTGCTGAATCAGGTTCAGGAAATATTTGAATAGCCTCAATTTTAGCCTCGAGGGTTTCTAAATCGTGTGTTCTCATACTGCAGAGCCGAAGCTCAAGGTTTCCAACATAAGATATGCATTTCGTTGGTTTGATAATCACTCCATACTTTTGAATTTATGGCGTCCAGAATTACTATACAATAACATGATTCAGACATAAAGGGTTTGGAAGATATATTTTTGGAAATCTATCGATGTATCGAGAAGCTTCAGATCTTGGCTGGCTAATATCTTCAGGTGATGCGTAGCACGGTGTGCTTATTCGTGCTCTACAGTGGTGGCGTGATTGAGCGCCTTGGGATAGGGTGTGTTCAGTAAAACTAATGAGGTCAGTATCAGAGTCGAAGTCTTACAGAATCGTTTATTTTGAGGATTTGTCTATCACATCAGCTCACTCCCTCTTAGTGGTTAGCGGTGACTCGAAGACGTGACTAGCCAGAAGTTTAATCACAGCGACCTTACGGTTGGTAAACATTATTCTAATGGTGTAATAAGAAGCCGAAGATTAACAGAACTATGCGGTATATTATATATATATATATATATATATATATATATATATATATATATATATATATATATATATATATATATATATATATATATATATATAAGGAAAGAGAATTCAGTGAAGAAAATGTTTCTTTTCGTTTATAGAGTTATATGGAAAATGTTTGTTTATAAAAGGATAGAAAGGATTGTTTCACAAAATATGGATTCGACAATGCGACAATATACGAATGTACAGCTTAAGTAAATGATTTTGTCGAAAACAAAATTTTTTTCGCTGAATTCTCTTTTTCATACTAAATGACACAATGGGTTATTTTATCTATATATACATAT